GCGAAATTACGTAGCTAATTTAATGGGGGACGTATTTTGATTAATGTTTGCAATGGCCAGCATGCTAATATTGCAAATCATGATGGTCCACAAATAATGCAGTGTCAACATATATGTAGCAAGTATATATGGTGTGAAATCAATATGAAATGTCAAGAAAATGTTTTTTTCCTTAGAATTCTTTTTATCTCACTCTTATAGCAAGGCACGAGGCGGTTAGCCTTTATGATTGGGAACTGCATTGTCTGAATAAATATAACAACAATGACAATAATGCAGCTGCAAAAATGATTATATCATAGGTACAACCTCCTTCCACAAATTTTTTTGGACATATAGGAAAAATGTGTGTGTTGGCCACAAATTATAGCCTTATATATTGTTGATTAATCATCCAGAAAATGTATTAATGATCGTTTATTTATGCTTACATTTTCTCCACCTCCTATTAGGCCTCCTATACCTAAAAATAAGTTATAAGAATACTTCTCCATAAATCATGATTTTTTTTGATAATTAAAGGAAAATGTAATGATGTTTGGACAAATCAAATTCCATTCAGTTATATACATTCTGATATTTTCATTGGATTTTCTTTTGGGATTGAACTAGCTAATTTAGAAGTGGATATTAAATGTCACATATGTGTTTTATAAACTTATGTCGAACACTAAATAATTGATGACATAATGAGAGTCTATGATACATATGTACACAAACAAAAGCCATTGGCTGAGACGATTATGCCAGTATGGCTTGACCTAACCAATTAGTGAATCTCTGATTTTTATAATTAACAAACACTATAAAGACAATTACGTGTTAACTGCGGTTAACTTGTCCTATATAAGTATATAAGTTAAACATCTGGTTGAGAATCGGGTCTACTTAAGGGTATCGGTCCCCATTCTTTAAACATGTTAGCATCTCAAGAGGCATATCACGAGTTGTGACGACGTATGTATAGATATCCAATATAATATGTGCATCTTCATCTAATCCATACGTACGCATTAATATACTGCTATTTACTGTTTTTTTCTAAAACAGTACATATATTTTTCTTTGCTCACATATCAGATTTTCTCCTATCATATATGAAACTTTATAAAACGAATTTAACCACCGTCTAATTAGTTTATATTCTTTCATAGATGGTTATTAGTTATCAGTCTTTTAACCAAAAAATGATTTACACCGTCGTTTTTTTCTCCTGTGGTTATAGATTACAGTAGGTTGATTTTATGTTAAGTTTTCTTAGGATAAGTCATATATGCTTATTTCGGTATATATATATATATATATTTCTCTTAAATGGATCTTCATAACACGTAGTCAAATATTTTTGTTGAATCTCTTCGAGCATCTAAATTTTATGTTTTAGATTCTACACTTAATCCATATAATATAGTACTTTGCAAGTTATAGGAAAACATTAACAGTCTTACAAAGCCTTATTATAATTCATTTGAATATCCATTTTTCAAGTGGATTACGTACACACATTACCAAGTGTTTGGACTTTGCAAGATGATGGGTGCATTGTCTCACTTTTTTGTTGTCACAAAGGGTTCATTGTCTATTCGAGACTTTTATCAAGACATGGGTTTTATATAGAAGAACCACCACATAAGTGTCAAAGTCGCGCAAATATTAAGACAAGAATCTATTGTTAAATCCTAGTTGTGTAGTGAAAGGTCATTATATAAATCTCGAATATGGAGTAAACAATAGGGAATATTGCCTTGGGCAGCAAACCAATCATCTAGTTTGGCTCAAATTCATGCGATAGAGACCTCTTTTTGATCCAAAAGCTTCGGGTTTTGAACAAAAACTGAGACCAATCAAATAAAAGTCAGAGAGAATTCAGAGGTAGGCACGTGTTCTTGGCTTGGATATCACGTGGGAATGAGTGATCCATGTGCATCCCTAAACCCCAAAAACCAACTCAACTAGCTTTTGTAAATACTGACGTATTATTAAGTTCAAACTATTCTTTGATCCCATTTTCAAACTAGATAAAGAGTGGTAATTAATATACAAATTTCATTACAACATATACACACTGCTAAGCTAAAGCTCGCAAAGCAAAACAAACAAAAACATATTAATCAATAGGGAAATATTTGCTTTTGTAAATACTGACGTATTATTAAGTTCAAACTATTCTTTGATCCCATTTTCAAACTAGATAAAGAGTGGTAATTAATATACAAATTTCATTACAACATATACACACTGCTAAGCTAAAGCTCGCAAAGCAAAACAAACAAAAACATATTAATCAATAGGGAAATATTTATAGGCAAAGCTAGATGATATGATGATATGATATAAGTAGTTGATAAGAAAGTTATAAGAAGAGAATATGGAAAAAGAGAGGTGACATAGGACCAGTGTCCACTCTCCAGCTCGGCTGTGTCTTTTTGGAAAGCTGCGAATAATAAAAAACGACAGCAAATAAAACTTAACAAAGAAAAGTAAGTAAACTACGATTCTAATTCGAATTTGTAGTAATATATACATTATTTAACTTTGGGTCACTAGACAAGAATCAATCCAAAGGATAAATTCTGAAAAGCAATAAAGTGAAAGTGTGTAAATAATGGAAAATATTGTAAAAAGGTTTGTTACTGGAATATATTACTTGTGTTGCAATAATTATTAAATTACTAGAGCCGTCTCCATCTTTAAAGTTTAATTTTTTTACAAAAATAAATAAAAATAATAATTAAAAATATAAAAAATAATGATATAAAATATTTTTACTAAGGCTTTTGTCAGCGCATAATGGCATAAACATGTTATATTATAATTACTTATTAAAATATTTTTTCAATTATAGAAAATTAAGAATTATACTTGATTAATATTTAGTTATCTATTTTTACTTTTGAAATTTAATTTTTATTAAAAAAATGGATAACAATTATTTTAAAATATAGTTTTTAGATTTTAGATAATTCTTATTATTATTATTATTTTTAATCACTTATCTAGTTAAATAAAATTTAAATTAGTTTTTTTTTATTTTTGACTAATTTATATATTTTATTCATTAATGGTATAAACAATATTTAACCACTATAACTTTTAACGTGAGAGTTTGAATGCGAAAAATTATTTCTCAAATCATAATATAAATAGATGAGTATTATTATTTAAGAATTTCTTGAAAAATTATGGGATGAAAGATGATTTTTTTAGCTTTAGCACTTATATGCATGGATATTGTGTTGCAACTTGAACGCTTACATGTGGCTGAGACTAGGGACGCATTCTGAGTGATGGATCAGAAACATGTTCACACATTTTTAATAAAATGGATTTAACATGGTTATCAAAAGCGTCGTCTTATTTCGTTTCCCAATACATAAAAAACGAAAAGGAACCAAATGATGAGCTCACAAAGAGACATAACACATGGAAAACAATATATACCAACACACATTATGGTACATCTGTATGTCAAAGTGATTGGTCTTCATTGTAGGACATTGTGATTGTTAAATGTCAAACTCGATTCACATGGCCATTTGTACATACATTATTAAAGTCTTTTAAGTCTTCATCTTTGGACAAAAGCTCAGAGACAGCCATTGCCTTAGACCCACACAGTTACACAGTCATGAACAAAATTAGGTTCAGACACTTCATCATATCTTAACTTAAAAGTCGTCGAAGATAGAAAATCTTGTCAGCATATATACAAATTTATGCACACATTTTACATACTTCATTAAACAACTTGGAAGCGTAACCACACATTAGATATATAGAGAGAGCAGACAGAGTAACACTGATACCATCTAGTTGATATATTGAGAAATCCATTTGAATCTTTTGCCTTAACCCATCTTCCTGCAATGATGTACATGAACACCTCAAGGAGACGATCATTTCTTCCTGTTGTATTCACATAAACATTCCCAGTGGTGAAATTGGTTAGGCTTAGATGATAATACAGTTCATCTTCTGATGCAGCGTAAACAATGTCAAAAAGTTTCCAAGAACGAGGAAAGGGACAGTTGCTAAGGATTCATATGAGAAAAGAGCGTTAAGTGTCGCAAACCTTTCTTTGTCATATGCTTCCACCAAGTAAACCACTGCATCCACCAAATCATAAGGAGATATAATAATAATAATAATGTTACAGACAATATGAACCTAGTCCTTTTAACACCAAATCAGAAGGAGAGATAATTATAATAGACTAATAGTGTTACAAACAATATGAATCTATAGTCCTTTTAACAAGTGAATCAAGTTTTTTTTTTCAGCGTTGTCGTGGTCATATAGTATTTGCCTATAGACCCATTATAATAAAGGGCCTTGCTTGAAGGCTTGAAGCTAACAATACTTTAGGGTTAATGAGACATCTACAAATATCCCAAACATTTATATTGTATACGTAAATCCACCTCTTTATAGAAAGACGTAAATCCACTGTTGCGTTTAGAAATTCTGTTGAAAAATAGGTTTAACTTTTGTGGTCAAATATTATATAAGACCTTAGTGAAAATAAGAACTAAGACCATTTTCAAGATATATATATTTTTTAGAAAAATAGGCAAACTCTAAAACAGAATCATGTTTCATTATAATACATATTTTTATTTTTAATATATTCTATTTTTAACTAATATTTTTTATTTATAAAAGAAAATTAATAATATTTATTTTAACTTAAGCAAAATTTCATGAAATGCTGATATTATTTAAACTGATTGTTTCTTCTAAAGACTATTATGTTCATTAAAATATGATTGTATCTTTATATATTTTGCATTTCTCTAAAATATATTTACTTTAGTCATAATTATAAAAATTTAAAAGTTAAATTTAATTTGGAAATAAAAACAATATAACTCTAATTAGATGAATCATATTTAAAATATAAAATAACAACTTTTGTTTTAGGAGAAGAAATAGAAATAAACTCAAGTGGATTTCATGTAATTAAGAACAACAATGCAAGGTAATAGTAATTGTTTAGTCCCGTCATAGTATTTTATTTATTTTGTCATCACTTATCTGTTAAATCATTTTTATTATCATAATCAGCCATTACTAGTTACTATATAAAAGCGTCATCATATATTATTGCATATGAAGATTGATTTATCTGTTACATCAATTGCTTTGAAACATACACAATCATAAGATTAATGACTTTTGCGTTCTAATTATTTTGAGCATTCTTCTTCACGATAATCACGGGACACTTCACTCGTTTGGCGCAGTACTCGCTTACACTGCCTAGCAAAGCCCTTCAATGAAACATGCGTAAACTATATCATTAAACCATTAAGTCGTATTAATTAAGAAAAAAAGAATAAGGCCTTACCTTTTGAAGAAGCCATAGTCATGTGTGCCAATAACTAACATATCAGCCTTAAGTTTCTGAACTGCGTTACATATAACTTCCTTAGCATCTCCTCTTCCAACTCTTCTCTCTATATTAATCTGCATGTTAACAATAACTTTTATCATTTGTATGCGTCAAAATCTTTAGAAAGAATACTAAATACATATACTAGTATTTTGGATGCAAAACATAAACCAACTTTACTTGCTAGTTCCGTCAAATCTTTTTGATACAACCCAACAAAGTGATCCAAAGATTATAATAAGAAGCTTACATCGGACTCAAAATCTTGGTAGACGGTTCGAGATCGAGCCATGACCGATTCCACGAGCTCGTGTTCATATTTCTTCAAGGCTGCAACTGGATCACCGGTCACTATAAACCCTAATTAAAAATTCGACCAAACATAATCCATAAGCTGAAATAATTATAATAAAAGGTAGTACTTAATTAAGGATATTGTGTGTGGACGAGACTAACCTGCAGCATCAATGGAAGAGTAAACGGGAAGAGGGGGCTTGACGTAAAGGAGGATGAGAGTATTATTGGAACCATATGGAAAAAGATTGTCAAGACTCCATGAAAGAGCTTTCATGCTCTCTTCACTTTCGTCCACGGCTACTACAATTTTTCTATCCTTCGTTTCTTCCATTTCTGAACTATTAAAAACTGTTTTGTTTGCAGGGAAATATTAATGAAAAAATATCTAATGAAGAAGGTTTGGTGGAAGAAGAGAATGCGATTTTGTTTCTATTTATACAAGTAGCTAAGGCAAAACCCACTTGATATATGGTTTTGGAGTTAAGTGTTTTAATTTAGATATGGTTTTGGAGTTTTGCAACGTGTAAGTACTGTAAATTTGGGTTATATATGCAAAAAGGCTTGCAACCTTCTCGTGACTAATTTCACAGCTGAAAAGATAAGATATAAACCCACGTTTGATAACCAATTTTTTTGTCGGCTACCCCTATCTTTAGGCCAAAGTGTTGGTCAGATGACTCGTTCTTCCTCCCTAGAGTACTTCTATCTTGTAGATGTGAATACAACAACATTAAACTTTTTATTTATCATACTGTATATTGAAGTGTTATGTGATTTGTATAGAGATTATTAATGGTTTGTAGAATTACTACATCCTTTTGAAGAAGTATATATATATATTTTTATTTTTTATTTTTCGTGAGGAACAAGTATATATATTATGGTAGATTATGAACTCAAATTTCTTGAACTTTCTAGAATAATAAGAACAAAAGTAAGTTCTTGAAGTATATACTGACTAATCAGGATTTTCAGATTTCTACCATCCATAAACGTGTATGAAGATAACGTAAACCAACTAAAGTGTATGATTGAAGCAAATAAAACCTAAATAATAATTGGTCCCCTCAAAAAAAAAATTAATATCATGACCCTAAAATGAAGATAAGATGCATCCCTTCCAACTAGAAATTGACACCTTTTATTGATCTTTGGCGCTCGGCTTTAGTGGTCCTAGTCCCAAAGGGTTAAAACGGTAATATGATCATTGTAATCCAATTAATGGGCCTTATAATCAAATTAATGAGCCTTAATGGGCCCAAAGGAGAAGATACACTTTCAAATAGCTCCGCCGTTAATCAGGGACGCCGCCATTGCTAATCGCCGTCGTGGTTTTTGATGGCTCCTCCTCCTCCATGGCTCCGTCTCTACCAGAGAACAAACTCAACCAAATCTCCTCTCAGCTCTCTCCTCATCGCTCGATCTTCTCCATCGAGCTCCGACGAACTCATTTCCAGTCAAATCCGACTAATCGGCGGTAGGAGAGGAGGAGCTAGGTCTTCTCCTTTCTCCGTTACGATACGTTATCCTGCTTATCATCCTCACATACACTCCTCCATAGGTTCTAGAGGTTTCTCTAGTATTACTTCTGATGTCAGTGATGATGAAATCGAATCTGATTGCAATGACAATGATGAAAATGATGATCTTGTTAGTGACGTCACTTGTGTAGCTGATTCAGTTACTAATCCGGAAGAAGTAGATAGAGTCTGCAAAGTGATTGATGAATTATTTGCTTTAGATAGAAACATGGAAGCTGTTCTTGATGAAATGAATATAGATTTATCTCACAATCTGATAATAGAAGTTTTAGTACGTTTTCGACACGCGAGGAAGCCTGCGTTTAGATTCTTCTCCTGGGCTGGAGAGAAGCCAGGCTTTGCTCATGACTCAAGAACTTACAACACAATGATGAGTATCTTAGCCAAGACTAGACAGTTTGAGACTATGGTTTCTTTGCTTGAAGAGATGGGTGTCAAAGGTTTGTTGACGATGGAGACTTTTACTATAGCGATGAAGGCTTTTGCTGCTGCTAAAGAGAGGAAGAAAGCTGTTGGTATCTTTGAGTTGATGAAGAAGTATAAGTTTAAGATTGGTGTTGAGACGATTAATTGTTTGTTGGATAGTCTTGGTAGGGCTAAGCTTGGGAAAGAAGCTCAGGTTTTGTTTGATAGGTTGAAGGAGAGGTTTACTCCGAATCTGGTGACTTATACTGTTTTGCTTAATGGTTGGTGTAGAGTTAAGAACTTGATGGAAGCAGCGAGGATTTGGAATGGTATGATTGATCAGGGGTTGAAACCGGATGTTGTAGCTCACAATGTTATGCTTGAAGGTTTGTTGAGGAGTAGAAAAAAGTCTGATGCGATCAAGTTGTTTCATGTTATGAAGTCTAAGGGGCCTTCTCCTAATGTCCGTAGCTATACAATTATGATTCGTGACTTTTGTAAACAGTCGAGTATGGAAGCTGCTGTTGAGTACTTTGAAGACATGGTTGATTCTGGTTTGGAACCTGATGCTGCGGTTTACACTTGTCTGATCACTGGTTTTGGGACGCAGAAGAAGCTGGATACGGTTTACGAACTGCTCAAGGAGATGCAAGAGAAGGGACATCCTCCGGATGGTAAAACGTACAACGCGTTGATTAAACTGATGGCGAGTAGGAAAATGCCAGAACACGCGACGAGGATCTACAACAAGATGATACAGAATGGTATCGAGCCGTCGATTCACACGTTCAACATGATGATGAAATCTTACTTCATGGCGAGAAACTATGAGATGGGGAGAGCGGTTTGGGAGGAGATGATGAAGAAAGGGATTTGTCCTGACGACAACTCGTATACGGTTTTGATCAGAGGGCTTATAGGGGAAGGGAAGTCGAGAGAGGCGTGTAGATACTTGGAAGAGATGCTTGACAAAGGAATGAAAACGCCTTTGATTGATTATAACAAGTTTGCTGCTGATTTTCACAGAGGAGGACAACCTGATATATTTGAGGAATTGGCACAGAGAGCTAAGTTCTCTGGTAAGTTTGCTGCTTCGGAGATCTTTGCGAAATGGGCTCAGATGACTAGAAGGAGATTCAAACAGAGATTCATGGAAGATTGATGACTTTGGGATCATTCAATTCATTCACTTGGAGAAGGATTGTGCTCATTAGTAAGTGGTTAGACTTGATCTCAACTGCAAAGGCTTGGTTTGAGCCAGAACTGTGCCTTCGATCAAGAACATGACCTTTACTTGCACTGCTGGGACTTATCTTAGCCACATGGTTTGCTTTGAACCAATACTTGAGGTAACACAAGTTGTTATGTTATCATTAACACAACCTGTATACTTACAAAGGCCAATCCTCAAAGATGTCTCTGCTCTTTGTACTGTAACATTTTTCTGAACGACAGCTTATATATGAGTGATTTCATTGTAACATGTTTACAGTATTGCGTTTATACTTCTCAAAACCCATATATTTGTCCACTAAGATATAAAGCATCTTATATTCATTCATAAGATGTAAATGTGTTCAAAGTTGCCACATTTAGCAAATGGAAAAACGGATAAAACGAAAAATTTCATATCCCAAAACAGCATTGATCTATGGAGTTTTGGTAGCTTCAGCGTCTTTGTTTCTCCAGGGATTAAGAGCTTCTCTCATGGCTTGAGCTTCAGGGGAATTTTCATAGGCTCGTTTCTCAGCTTCTAGTACAGTAACCTTGTCGTCTGCAAGTTTTAGGTAATAAAACAAAGCTTTTCATGAGGACAAGAACAAAAACCAAGTGTAATGTAAAAAGTGGAAGCTGAACATAGAAGATTACAGGAAAGTAATACACTTCAACCTCAATAAGTATTACTGTAATAACATTTCTATCCAAAATCAACGATATTGAACTGCTCCAGTGAAACCATATCAATCGATTGTTGCCACTTCGAAGGAAAAAAAACTAATCTACGAGAAATTAGAATTCACAGCTTTTAATCTAATGGATAGAACTTACAGAAGCCAGTCTTGATCATGAAGAACTCCATTCCTCCGCCGATGATAGCAGATCCAATCGCAATCTTCAGATACCAATCCAGAAACTTCGCCTGCTTCATCATACCGCGAGAAGATAGATTGACGGATTCAAACAAATCTCCAGAGGAATGGAATACAAGAGCTGTGAAAAGCTAAGCTTAAGAGGATTTTAACGATAGAATCCACAGTTTCTGGCCGGAGGGGTTTTAGTTGTTCTTTTTTTATCGTCTCAGTGAAACGAGAAACACTGTTTACAAAAAAAAAAACAATGAATAAAACGCTGTCGTGTCGATAAATTTGACTTTGGTACGATACGAGTGATCGGCATGGATTATTATAATATCTTACGTTGAAACCGGTTAAATCAAACCAATTCATGATGAGAAAAAAATTAATTGTAGGTTGCGGTTAAGCAGCAAATATTAGCAGGGGATACTGAAAATGACACTTTTAGCTGTTCTTAGACCATGATGATTAATCCGGGTTTTCTTAACTTCCGATAAGAACCCCGGGTTAATCATGCTCTTATCTTAATTAGTGTTACATTATGATCAAACTGATGAAAAGAAAAGAAAGATAATATGTTCTCAACTTTGAACAATGATGATCACACTGATGAAAAAAAGGATCCAATTCCTCAAGAACTCAAATTATAACACCCAAAAAAAAAGAAAACAAAGAGAAAATGATCTCAGAGGCCAAAAAGACATAAACTGATTAAATCATAACCCGTAACTAAAGCTAAACTCACTTACATGCCTACTAGGAAGAGATGTAGTGACTGAGGAGTTTTTTCCCAATGATCATAGAGACATCAGCTCCTCTTATGTAACGGATAAAGAAAGGAAACCCAATATCGTCGAAACTATGGCAAGCCATTCCACACATCCCATACGGAACACCCTGCTCCTCCTCCTTCTTCTCCTTCTTCTCCTTCTTCTCCTTGGACTCTTTCATTATCTCCCCACTAGTCTCATTTCTGATCGGGAACGCGAGCAGCTTTTTAACCTCCTTTCGGTGAATGCTACTTCTTTCAGCTTTCACATCGTACCACGTCCACACCACCTTGAAATTCAACTTATGTTGATGCTTCCACTGAAACACACCATTTACTTTCTCCAGCTTCCATATCTCCATTACTGACTTAGTGCACCGTCCATACATTATACATCCATCATCTGAACCAGCAAGAACACGTTTATCATAGTAGTGTATTCTCGGAAGCTTAACCAAGTCGATTCGTTTCTCCTCTTTCTTGTTCAAGTCGAATATAACAACTTTGCCTCCTACGGCGTACCAATATACAACTCCGTTAATCACTTTCTTACTCTCTAGCATGAGACTTACAGGCTCGGGACACGTCAGCTCGGAGTAGCTCCAAATATTGGTTTTAGAGGAAAAAATCTCCACTCTCAACTTCTCACTTGGTTTGTTCACACAGTCAGCCCGGATCACCATGTAGCTAAACACATGAGAAGAATCCTCGATGATCAAGGACGTACAAGAGAGTTCAAAGTGAACACTAGGATGTGGAATCCGATTACGCAGATGCGTAATAGGATTCCACAAGTAGTAATCATGATGGCTGCTGCTACAAAGAATAAAATCTTTTGAAGAATCAATGTAGTGTCCAAGCTGCCTCAAAGATTTGATTTCATCACCTAAGATAGTTCTTGGAGGTTGGTCAAACTCAAAGGGAGGGAGACGAAGTTCGTATTTGAAACTTCCAGAGTTCTTTGTCTTGCAGATGAAGAAGCCTATGGGTGCTGAGTTTTTTTTCCATTTGTTTAGGTAACTGCGACGGAATAAAGGGTTGGAGATTATCTGAAGCCATCTCTTTGATACTAGAATTAGCTTGTAGACCGTTTCAGGTGGCAACAGGAGAAAAATCTCACACATAATGTCATCGTTGTTTACAACTTGATGAGTGCTCAAATCAGAAGACCACATCCCATGCAAACTAGTTTTTAGCCTCTGAGAACTAAACATTATTGCTGCAAAAACACTGTTGTTTCTTTGATCTATCAGTAAGAAAAAAAAAAACGAAAAACATAGATCAGATATAACAATCGGCATGAACATTAATTTTTATTTTACCGGTGTATGTATCAATGAACAAAAAGATGGAAACTTTTCCGAAACCCTAAAAAAATTTACATATGAAGATCAAGAAAGGGTTGTTAAGCGAGAATTACATATTGCTTGCTGATGGAGAGCGAGAGAGACTTTGTTGACGACGAACAGAGGAGGATGCAAAGTACGCAAGGTTTTTTTGACGTTCACAATGTCGTCATAATGATGATACGTCTTTTCTTAGTGCGCTAAATAGTCAGGTTAAGAGCCTAACCCCATTATAAAGCCCACGAGCTGAGAAACTGCATTAAAATCAGTTGCAGGCCAAACCAATTCGAACCAAGAAATTCGAACCGAAAACAAAATAAAATTTGAAAGGTAGAGGGGCAGGGTGGCCACAAACCAAATACCTAGATTTTTGGAGGTATTTGTAATCTGATCTATTTCGTTCGAATAATCAATTATTTAATTTGATTTGCAGCCATTAAGATATTCCGTGTTCAGGATATCTAAATTTTTTTATATATTTATTTAGATATCCGATCTATAAAAAGTAAAAAATTTAAATAAAAAAAAATCCAAAAATAATAATCAAGATAACTTTTAAATTCAAAGTTGGAAACCTAAAAAATTCAAAAAATGAGTCCAATTTTGTTCCAACTCGATTCTGGTTTTTCGGATAATTTCAGATTTATAGATAAAAATATTGGATAATTTTGGGTTTTCAGTTTAAATATCATGTAATTCGTTTTGTTCAAATAAAAATATGAGATGATTTGGATAATTTTAAATATTTATATATAAAATATTCGGGTAATTCAATTTTTGGTTAATTTGGTTTATAAATAGCATTTTTAAGATATGGTTATTTAGAAATTAGATATAATTATTATTTGTTATATAATTTGTATTCTAAAATTCAGGTACCCATTTGGTTTTTGGTTATTTTGACTCCAAATATATATGATTTGTTCAGTCATTTATGAAATTCATTTCCTTTTTGGTATCGTGTTTTTTCAGCTTGATACGGTTCGGTTCACGGTTCAAGATAAATATGCCAAAATCTATACATTATTTTATATAAAACTTCATTTTTTTTAAAAACTATTTAATTTTAAAGAGATCAAAATCTAGCTTTAAAATGTGTTACAATATAAAATATTAGTATGTATCAAGATCACTTTTTTTCTTTATAAAGCCCACGAGCTAAGCAAGATAAAACCAGTTGCAAGCCAAACCAATTCCAAACCAAGACATTAGAACCGAAACCAAATCAAATCTTGGTTTAATTTTTTGCCCCTGCTTGTGGAAGGAATTTGAAAAGGTAGGGGATGAGAAAACAATTTTCTAACTTTGGTACGAGTGATCGGCATAGGTTATCTATCACGTTTGAAAAGCGGTTCAAAACAAACTATTTGAGTTTGCGGTTAAGATGGGTGAAATAGCAGATAACATCAAGGCATACACGTGGCACGTTTACATTGCATAAATTTTCAGCCGAGTGGGTGGACTTTACTGAGCATTCAATAATAGTGGTTGACATTAATACCCCCAAGTTCTGCGTCACTACGGAAAATAAATTAACAGTTAGGGGTACTGTCGTAAATAGCGATAGCTACCTACCCAAGCTTCGACGTGAACAAAACGTGTCGCGTCTTGTATCTTTTGTAAACAAGAGACTTTACTCAGAAGAAGAGTGATCGGAAACATCATCATCATCGGCGATGGGTTGGCTAACGAGATTTCTAACAGCGGTAGCGTTTTTAGCCGCCGGAGTTATATTCTCACCGGAGACATTCGGATCATTATCCAAGGGCGAGAATTCAGCGAAGGTTTTGATAATCGTGAAGCTAGCTCATCTACTCAGCTTCTCTACTGCTTGGGGAGCTGCTCTCTGGGCTACCTTCATCGGCGGAATCATCATGTTCAAGTAAAATACAATTTGAAACACTTAACTCAATTCGAATTTGGTCAAATTAGGGTTTGTTTGTTTGTTTGTGATTTGATTGATTGAATTGTGTTTTGATTTGATTTTAGGAACTTACCGAGGCATCAGTTTGGTAACCTACAGAGCAAGATGTTTCCAGCTTATTTCACTCTTGTTGGTTCTTGCTGCGCTATTTCACTCTCTGCTTTTGGTTACTTGCATCCATGGAAGTCATCTTCTACTGTGGAGAAGTATCAGCTTGGGTTCCTTGTCTCTGCTTTTGCTTTCAATCTCACCAATTTGTTTATCTTCACTCCCATGACCATTGATGTAAGCTGGCTCAAACTTAAACAAGGGCTTTCCAAGATTCCTATGTATTAATGGTCTTTCTTTACTTTTGGGTGTGTAGATGATGAAGCAAAGGCACAAAGTAGAGAGAGAGAACAACATTGGAGATGAAGTTGGTTGGTCCAAGAACAGAGAGAAGGCTAAGACTATCCCTAAGCTAGCTGCCATGAACAAGAAGTTTGGTATGATTCACGGGTTGTCATCGTTAGCTAATATCTTTTCTTTTGGAAGCCTTGCCATGCATTCTTGGTACCTTGCTGGGAAGATGGATCTCTAAGCTTTTATGCCCACTTAATCAATAAGCATTGTAAGATTATCATATCAGAAAGAGGAGACTTATTACTGTGAAATTGTGTTACAGTTTGCTAAGATAATAACGTTTTTTCTTCTTTTAAACTGTAGATGTTCTTTTTTTCTGAATAATTGATGTGTGAATGCTATTACAGAAGAGTAATGCCTACGTTTTACTTAAAGAAACTAAAAAAATGTGCGTGTGAATGGTGGAGTACTACACCATAGACACTCATAGTTAACAATCTAATTGGGAGGAAGAAGATGATCACTAGTTGACTACTCCTTGATGCGACGAATCTAGCTATGAGTTTCAAGGAATCTCTCCCAGTACATATAATGTTCACGATTAAGAACCTGGCCCGCCATTGATCCCGCTCTGCCTTTATCTGCTTCAGCTCCTTGCGGATCACATGCCTCAATGCTTTCAGGTAAGAGCTCATGTCATGGTTTCTTTTGATTTTTCCTTCAGACCCATAAGAGCGACGGTCGCTGAGTATCTCTAGAGGGTGTGGTGAGTTGAAGAACACGCTCTTTGCTGCCCTTAGTCCCTTTTCTGTGTCATTGGTGTTCTTAGATGTTAAGACATAGAGACCACTTCCTGGTGGAAGGAGAGGGTGTGGTGGAGAGAATCTCTCGGATGGTTGCAGAATTAGAAGCTTTCCCATTGGTGAATACAACAGATTCTGCAGAAAAAAGACATAAGAGTAAGTCAAGAAGCAATGGTCTGGATCAAAACAGGTTAAGACATTACATGGTTATTGAGACAAGGATGGTTGCGGAAGTTTCTATTCAACGCCTTGAGAAGCTTTGCAGCTCGGATAGGGTAACTGCAAGAGAATGCTCGAGGAACAATATCTCTATGCATTGAGATTCCAAGAAGATGACTCTTAGGCAACCCGAGTTTCTGAAGAAGCCTATCGCCTCCACACATGATGCAAGGTGAACCAAAGGTGATCACCGGAAGCAGAGAAGAAGCTGGAACTTGACCTCTGATCAGAAGCATGAGGTTCACTAACAACGACAAGCTTCCTCCTAGAGAGTGTCCACTAAACCGAAGAAAAGCACGGTTCTTGCCACGGGAGTTGAGATGGGCATGAACTTCCGGTAACATCTGCTCGTAGATTCCTTTCGCAGCTTCGTATATGCCTCTGTGGACAGGCACATCAAAGTCCTCAAATGGGACTGGCTCGAACAGAAGGTTCGCTTGCCATGAGGCCAATGAATCTGATCCCTGTTAGAAGACGAGTCTTGAGCAATCTTTTGGCATATCTCAAATACCATTAAAGAGTAAAATTACCTGAATAAAGAAGAACCTTGTGCCAGTTTTGTCATCATCGCATACGTACCACTCACAAGGCGGTGAATGGTTGGACTTGAGATCATCAGCGACCGCCTGCTTAGCTTCCTCTTCTGCTGCCACAACAGCTGTAACCGAATCAGCAGTGGCCATTAGAGACGCTTCTTCCTCTCGACGTCCGAAAGGAAGCACAGATTTTGAATGGGAGAAGAGACGAGATGCTGCAGAAGCAGCTATTCTGTAAGCAGCAGCTGGATTGATAAGCTTCTTCTCCTCCTCCTCCTCCTCCTCGTCTTTCTCGCCATTGCTATTCTCATCATTTTGATCAAGACTCAACCTCTTCTCGATTGAAGAAGTCACGAATCTAAGTTTCTGATATTTCAACAGATTCTCAGGCTGTAACAAATGAAAAAACTAAAAATCAGAAACACACAACACGTCAAGTTTTGTTTTAATCTGTTTAAAAGGTCTTAACCTTGATGTTGGGGATTGAATAAGCCAAGTTTCCTAAATAAGATAGCTTCGCAAACATCTGTGCATCATCAAGAGGAATCTTCATGAGCATCTTCGAGAATTCTTCTCTATCAAACACCATCTCCTCCTCTTCTTCCTCTTCATCATCACCGATCCTGCAGAAATCACACTCCTCGCATAACTTGGCTTGGCCTTCCTCATCTCCTCCATCACCGCCTCCAGATCGTTGCCTCTTCCCTTTCCAGATAGAACCAACCTCCAGAATCCTCAAAACCCAGTTTCCTTTTCCCTCCTCTCTCTCCAACGAAACGGCGTCGTCTTTAACCGTTTCCTTCCTTCCCTTATTACCACCGATCCCAAGAAACTCAAGGGGACGACGAAGCGGCGTCGTTTTCTTCGGCCGCAGAGATCCGGTCCTTGGTCTCTCCTCCACAGAGCCTCCGATCGCACGTATAAGAGACGGTCCCACCGGAATCTTCGGAGATACGCATTGCACCGACATTTTTAAGAAAACTCCACAATCCATGACAAAGTTTTTCGTTGATTTTATGTTGGAGGACTGTAGATTAGATACGTACGTATATACGTATACGTATACGATTTGGCGAATTTTCCGGCGCGTTAGCGTGCAAGTTTGATTGAATGTCTCGTCGTTTTTTTTTGATCAATCTTTCTTTTGACAGAGATGTCTTCTCTATAACACATGAATATATATTCACCCCATTTATGTAGGAAAGGCAGGTGAACGAACTTAATTTTAACTCTCCCTATTGGTGCATAACTTTACTTAGGAAGATGATTAATTTTAAAGATGATTAGTTTCATTAATTTTGCATTTACGTAAGGCAATATAACAGTATTCAAGGTTAGGATCTTTCTGGGTGAAGCGGTTATGGGGACACGTGGAAGGCGAAGAAAGTGTCTACGAACCTGACCCTCCCACGTTTCTTGGAATAAATTAGGTTGCTGGATATCTTGTTGGGCTTTCGGTCCTAACAACTATTACCTACATTCGTTGCCTAATTAATATAATTCGGAAATAGTTTATTTTATTTTTGGCTTCAAAATCGATTTTAATTTTTTAGAATAATCATACAAGAAAGCACACAAAGAAGACAACAGGAAATAGATTCACAGACATAAAAATAGCTTAGATGAATCATAAATGTGCACTAATTTGATTAACAAAAGCAAAAATATAATTTCATCAAAACCTTCTACTGGCTTTTTTCTCATCATCCTTTTTGTCTCACCAGTTTTTTTCTCTATATTAAAACCTAAAACAAGTTACATTAGGGACCATTACAAGTTTGATCCAAGACTTCTTTAATCTTCTTCTTCTGATCTTCCGTGAGAGAGGAAGGAAACAAAACCTCAAAAGTGACGAAGAGGTTTCCGTTCTTTGTGCTGAAGTGAAGTGGCATACCTTCCCCTTTGAACTTCTTCACTTCCTTGGGCTTTGTGATTCCCTGTTTCACACCCACAATATTCAATCAATCCAAGAATATGTCACACACAATATTCAATCCAAGACAGCCATTATATCATAAGATCGATATACAGTGAGAAAGTCAGTGTTACCTTGGAACTGATGTCAACTTTGTGTTCATCCAAGTGTTTGAATGTTTTCTCAAATCCAACTAGCGCCTCAACCTGAAAGGTGTTTATTTATAAGTAGAATCAGTAAACAGATAAATTGTTGGAATATGATGTAGAGACATAAAAGATGTTCGTGGGATAATTATTTACCAGTGTAATGTTGACGGTCATGTGTAGATCGTTGCCATCTCTCCGGAAACGGGCATGTGGAGCAGTTTTTATTCGGAACTGTCAAGTGTACAATTATGGTTAATTCTCTGATTTTCCAGTCAACTGAAATCAAGGATCAGGAAAACTATGGAAGAGCCTAACCTTAAGGTCACCAGGGTCACCGTCGAGAATAGGTTCACCATCTTCGTAGAAAGACACTTCCTGGAAGAAGACATCGATAAGCTCACAGTGAGTTTTAGAGCTACAGTGATAGGTAGAATCCAAACATAAGGATGTAAAGTAGAGTTTGGAGACTTACTTCTCCGTCTTTCATTCCTTTCTCGATATCAACTGTGACAAAATATCCTTCGCGTTCGAACTTAACATTTGGGCATTTGTCACAGACCTGACAGGAACCAGATATGTTTTAGAGAAGTGATATTGGACTCAAGAGGATGGATTGAGAAGCTTGAATACATCTGCCTTACCTGCTCTGTCATCTGTTGGAACATTCCAGGACCAATTTGCCTGTGATAAACCTCATCCCTGCAGTTACACTTTCTTTTTCCAGGAGCTGGCTTTATTACATTCTTCTCCCTCCATACCTGATAGATTACCATGGGACATCCTCATTAAGAAACCAAAAGTTAAGGCAAGTCATTTCATCTGCATTTACTCTAACCAAAGTAACTCTCAATTCTCAAACGTAAAGAATCTCAGAATAACACTATGATATCATGTTCACTGATTAAGTAATGAAGCCCAAGCGCATTTGAATCAAATCAATTACCAGACGAGTTCCAAATCCATTTATACAGACAAACTAATGATAATAACGTCATACCTTCATTGAGCCTCCCATGTACAGATCTTCAAGAGTGGCCTCAAGTTCCACAATCACATCATCACCCTTGACAACCTTCTCTTCTTCCTCCATCGAACCACCACCGCCAAAAAACCTAATACACACATCAATAATTTCCCCGCATTAGCAATCAGTTAACATTTAAACACGAATGTAAAACACAATCAACATTTAGAAACTATTAGCACCACAGTAAAGACCCTAAACATTAACAAAATAAATTGATATTCACTATCCATACCATTCCACTTTTTCCAAAACCAATCCTTAGCCACTAGTTTATTTATGTTCCATGAATCAGAAAGTCTGTTAACCACTAGTTCCAACCTAGAGAGTAACCATTATTGGCATTATGATCTTCCAATAAAATAGGAGATAAGAAAAAACTTACTGGCTAAAGATATCCTGCATATTCATGCCTCCTCCTCCACCTCCACGTCCACCATTAGCAGCATGCTGCTTAAGCCCTTCTTCACCATACTTATTATAAATCTCCCTCTTCTCCTCATCCGATAACACTTCATAAGCTGTTTACATACATCATTAATTAAGTAAACCTCAAAACAGAGAAACGCAGAGTTATGAAGCTGCTACAGTGTGAAGCAAATAACCGTTATTGATCTCAGCGAATTTGCGAGTAGCTTCCTCGTTGCCTTGATTCTTATCAGGATGATACTTCAAAGCGAGTTTCCTATAAGCTCTCTTGATCTGTTCATCAGATGCACCTTTCGGCACTTGCAACACATCGTAGTAGCTCTTCCTGATAATTCAATCAATCACCATTGATTTTTTTTTTTCTTTTCCTAAGAATTACGCAAAATCGCAATGTACTTAAGAGCGTTGGTTGCTTACCCGGCGAAGACGCAGATGGCGTAAGAGAGCGCGAACACTACGATGCATAGATTCGACCACCGAATCGCCATGGAAATGGGATATCAGGAGAGAATCGGATCTCTCCAAATCTGAGTATTCAATGCAGAGTGAAGGAAACGCACTTTCTCTTCTCTTTCGACGAAGGAACGATTCCTAAAACTAATATAGAATCCCAACTTACGTGGTCGGGTTACGCGTGCATTGTAACGCCTTAACCAATCAGGACTAAGTCTATAACAGTTTAAACCAATCAGTCTCAGCCACGTGGATATATGACGGCAGAATCGCTGACTGTTCGTTTTCTTCGACGTTATTACTACGGCGTCGTTTGTTTGAGTAACTTCTTAACTAGGCCCATTTGTAATGAAGTTGGCCTTTAGCTCCACCTAAAAAATGTGTCTAACTACGCCCATTTATAATGAAGTACGGCGTAGTTTATATTTAAAGCCCATATATCTGGTAGACCCGTTTAAACAACGGCCCATATCTGAAGGTCATCTATACTATTATTTGCGAAGTGATTTTTCGCAACGGAGCTCTCACGTTAAAAGTTAGAGCGGTTAATATCTATTTTACCCTTAATGAAAATTTTATATATAACTAATTTTATAATTAAAAACGAAATTTAAAAATTAAAATTAGATAAATATGTTACTATCTTAGATAATCTATACTATTATTTGCGAAGTGATTTTTCGCAACGGAGCTCTCACGTTAAAAGTTAGAGCGGTTAATATCTATTTTACCCTTAATGAAAATTTTATATATAACTAATTTTATAATTAAAAACGAAATTTAAAAATTAAAATTAGATAAATATGTTACTATCTTAGATAACTGAGAATAATTAATATAATAAGTTTTTTAAAAATAAAAAAAAAAGATAATTCTTATATATGTTATTATTATCTGAATATAATATTGTAATCTATACTATTATTTGCGAAGTGATTTTTTGCAACGGAGCTCTCACGTTAAAAGTTGCAGTGGTTAATATCGATTATACCCTTAATGAATAAATTATATAAATCAGCCAATAACTAAAAAAAATTAATATTTATTTGATTAGATTAATGATTTAAATTAATAATAATGATAAGAATTATCCATAATCTAGATACATATTTAAAAAGAAAAAGATAATTCCTATATATATTGTGTTATTATCCGGATAATATATTTTAATAAAAAATCAAAAACAGAAAACACATAAATAAATACTCATAAAGTAACTTTTTAATTGTACATAATTGAAAAGAGAAAATTTAAAAAATTATAATACGTAATTATTTTCTAATTAAAAAATATAATAATATAACATAATGATATATATTTGTGAAGTAATTTTTCGCCTCTGAACTCACACGTTAAATTAAATTTATTTTATATTTTATATAGTATAACATTAAACATGAATTAATCATAATAAAATAAAAGATCATTTAAAAAGAAAAAAATACGTTGTTGACAAAATAAATTCAAATATATTATATTATTATCCCAACTAATATTATTCTTTCTGTAAGATCAATTTTTGAGTGTATATTTAATGATTCAATTTATCAAATTGAAAGATAGGTTTCTATATTTTTTTTATTAATTGAGAAGAAATGAAACAGATTTTAGATTTTTTTTTCAAAGTTTTAAAGGGAAAAATAGATTTTTTTTTAATTTATGAATAATTTTATCATGTAAAAACGTTTTAATGTTTTAGGTCTAATTTTTGGGATGGAAATAATCATTTATTTTAATGATTTTTTAAATTGTCTTAAAAATAACTAAGCCCGCAGGTGCGGGCAAAACACCTAGTCAGATAAATTATACCATGTTCTAAAAATCGAACACCTAGCCGCTTAATATCACTCATCCACCTTGGTTTATATAAAATTGATCTAATAAATTAAATATCTAATTTTAATACATTTAGATAGCCTAAATAACAGTTTATCCATCTAGTCATATAGGTGATCTATTACCACCTAGTCATATAGGTGATCTATTAATTTTAAATATTTTTAAAATTTGTAAAACTTTTTTTTTTAATTTGTTTATTTGATCTTATAAGTATAACTCATTTACATAATTTTGATAAAAAATATACCGTATTAAATTTATATTTATATTAGTGTGCATTTATACAATTTTAAACATAAAAATGTATTAATTTTATAAAAGGATAAAAATTAATATACTTTATAACATATTAAACAATTTAAAACTCTATTTTGTGTAATTTTTGGTTAATCTCCATTTTTTCGCTAGGTATTAGACGTTCCAGCCATCCAATTAATATCTAACGTTATTCTTAACATGAGATTATACTAATATTCCTTCTGTTTTAAATGGTAGAGTGGTTAGGTTGTTTTAAAATATAAAATGTTTTGAGATTTTAAGATATGTTTTAAAATTTTAAAAGTAATTTTAACTTTATTAAAAATTGTTTAACTAATAAAATTTTAGAGTCAATTTTATAATTGTGTGAATGATTATAAAATTATATATTCATTTAAAAATGCTTTTTAAAAGAAAGAAAATATTTAATTTCTGTGCATCAAACCAAAACATCATATGAAACAGATGACTATTTTTTATGTATTGTTGTTTAAAAATTTGCATGCAAAGAAACAGATTGGATTTCTGGACAATCATGGCATGTCAGGTTATTTGAATCTTTGCATCTTCTACGAGTGGTCCCCAGTCCATTACTAACATTTAGTGCCAACTGAAAAAAGCTGACGAAGAGTAAATTGATGCTGGAAAGAAGTAAAGATACTGCCCACGATGATATGCTGAAAAAACCGGGTCTATTTCTTTACAAAAACTATAATATCAAATATCCATCCAACTATCACCTTGTGCCATATCTTCACGAATTATAAGTTAGAAACTTATTTCACCCCGAATCGATAATTCGAAATCTATTTTTGCTCGAACTAATAGTTTAGAAGTTAATTACACATAAAAAATAGTTTAACCGGTTTATTGTTAACCAAACAATTTTAAAACCAAACAAAAATTCAATTTTATCAAAAAATAAGTTTTCAAAACCTCTCAAAATATGAAAATCTTCAAAATTTCTTTGATAATAGTGATAGTGTGGAATTTGAATAGTGTATTAGTATTTTTCCTTTTTGATATAAATAGATTATTGACGTTTTTATTTGGTTTAAATTATATGGTTAACAATAAACCAATAAAAATCATAGTATATGGATAATTAAGATTCGAACTATCGATTCAGGGAGAAATAAATATGTGACTTTCGATTCACGAAGATCTAGCACGAGGTCATAGTTTGGTGGATATTTGATGCTATATGTTAGTTTTCATGGGAAAATAGATCGTTCACCTGAAAAATCATCGCAGAAAAGAAAGCACTATTATTGTTGTTAGATAATTGATCAAGTCCGAATTATTACTAAAATCCAACTTCATAACAAGCCATAGTATGAATATTAAATAGGTTTGAGAACTTAAATGCTTCCATTTCTAAAGAAAATAGGGTTTTTATAGGGGTTTATCCACATATTAAATGGTATATGAATGTTAAATAAATTAATCATTGGAAAATTTTAAATGATTCACATGTACCATAAAGACAAGTTTAGAAAAAATATATAAAAATTTGGAGTGCGTTTACATATTTTTTAAACAACACGAAAGATGGTAAATAGTATATATAGTATTTAACGGAAAATTCAGCTTTTTCATAGGGGCTAACCCACATATTTCAAAAAAAATTATAAAAAATAGAATTTTTGTTTTAATGCATAGCTGCATCATACACTGACATAGTATGTATATTAAATAGGTTTGAGACCTTAAATGCTTCAATTTCTCAACAAAATATGATTTTTATTGGGGTTAATCCACATATTAAGTGGTATATGAATGTTAAATAAATTAATCATTGGAAAATTTGAAATGATTCACATGTACCATAAAGATAAGGTCAGAAAACATATATAAAAATTTGGAGTGCGTTTACGTATTTTTAAACCACATGAAAGATGGTAAATAGTATATATAATATTTAAAGGAAAATTCAGCTTTTTTCATAGGGGATGATAGTCCACATATTTCAAAAAAAAGTTATTAAAAATAAAATTTTTGTTTTAATGCATAGATACATCATACACCGCCATAGTATGAATATTAAATAGGTGTGAGACCTTAAATGCTTCCATTTCTCAACAAAATACGATTTTTATTGGGGTTAATCCACATATTAAGTGATGTATGACTGTTAAATAAATTAATCATTGGAAAATTAGAAATGATGCCCATGTACCATAAAGATATGTTTAGCAAAAAAATATCAAATTTGGAGTGTAGTTAGGTATATTCAAAACACAGAAGTTGCTAAAATAGTATATATAATATTTATCGAAAATTCAGGTTTTTCATAGGGTTAGCCCACATATTTCAAAATAAATTATAAAATATGGTATTTTTATTTTAGTACATAGCTGCATCATACACTGACATAGTATTAATATTAAATAGGTTTGAGACCTTAAATGTTTCCGTTTCTCCAGAAAATAAGATTTTTATTGGGGTTAATCCACATATGAAGTGGTATATGAATGTTAAATAAATTAATCATTGGAAACTTTGAAATGATTCACATGTATCATAAATATAAGGTTAGAAAACATATATAAAATTTTGGAGTGCGTTTACGTATTTTTTAAACCACATGAAAGATGGTAAATAGTATATATAATATTTAAAGGAAAATTCAGCTTTTTTCATAGGGGATAGCCCACATATTTCAAAAAAAATTATAAAAAATCGAATTTTTGTTTTAATGCATAGCTGTATCATACACCGCCATAGTATGAATATTAAATTGGTTTGAGAACTTAAATGCTTCCATTTCTAAAGAAAATAGGATTTTTATTGGGGTTTATCCACATATTAAATGGTATATGAATGTTAAATAAATTAATCATCGGAAAATTTTAAATGATTCACATGTACCATAAAGACAAGTTTAGAAAAAATATATAAAAATTTGGAGTGCGTTTACATATTTTTTAAACAACACGAAAGATGGTAAATAGTATCTATAGTATTTAACGGAAAATTCAGGTTTTTCATAGGGGTTAGCCCACATATTTAAAATTTTTTTTATAAAAAATAGAATTTTTGTTTTAATGCATAGC